AAAAAAAAAAAAAAACACACACACACACACACACCTGTGCCTGGGAGTTGTTAAGGTAGCTAGCTTCTCCTTTGCCTCCTTTCATGCTTAGCATCCTTTCCAAGTTCATGCTGGGAACGACAACGTTTTCGCCAGTCATGGGAGCCATGTGAATGTAATTTTAAGTATATAATAGTTTTGACTCACAAGGATTGGGTTATATATGTGGAGAGGATATGTGATGATAACTGACTGATGGGGGAGTCACTATATATACACACACAGCTGACATAAGATCTTGTTAAGAGTATTTCGTTTGGCATTATTCAAATGTAATTTGATCCTGTGCACACATATAATTAAATTATTTTAAGTTATGTGTATATGATTATATTTATAATAATAAGATTATATGCTAAATATAAAATTGGTAATCTCATGCAACTGTTACAAACCCTAAATATAGTAAAAAAAAAAATAGATGAATAAATGTATGAAGAGTAATGCTACGTACAAGTACATAATATTGTACATAATGGTGTACATAACACTCAATTGAGTGGGACCCACTAAAAATAAAAAATCAAGTGGACCAGGCTGGCCTTCCTTCGTCGATAAGATAGTTGCAGCATATAGTTCAATAACAGCTGGAAGGCCGACGACTACATAAGCTAAAAGACTACGACTACAAGACAAGCCGGAAGCGACAGGACCCTACTCCATGTGAGTGTTATGTACACCTTTATGTATATTTATTATGTACATGTAGCATTTTTCATGTATGAAACAAATTAAAGAAATGAATAAATAAATAAAACATATTGTAACAACTTTTGAAAAGACTCATAAAATTTTTTGTTAACTGAATTATATTTTTATTAATTGCTGGTTGAATAAAATTTAATGAAACTAACCAGCAATTATATATATATATATATATAGATTCATGTTACTTTTAATTATTTTTTTATTAGACAAGCAAATAAATTTAAAAGAAAGTTTGTCTATTTGTTTACTTGTTTATTATATAGTTCCGAATATATATATTTTCTATGTATGTATGTTAAATATATAACATGATAAATATTATAGAGTTTTAAAATTTATGAGAGAAGGATTTATTTATTTATTTTTCGTAGGGATAGAATAAACTCCGCCTATGTTGTCTCAACATAACAGGTCCCAAGTCTTGGTAAAGGAGGAGGGCTGTGATAAGTTTGGCGAGCCAACGTAAAACCGAGCCGTTCTATGGAGATGAAACACACGAGAAATTCGTTGGGGCGTGTAGCGACCGCCATATCGCCATATATTTTTTTTAATGTTTTTATTGTCCAACTTTTTGCGTCATACTAATGCTTGAATTTAAATTCAAGATAAAGATCCTTTCTTATTGAGTAGTATATCATTATCAAAATATTTGAGAGGAAAAAAATTAGAATATTATTATATTATGATACTCTTAGTTATCGGTTAACTTTATTATTACAAAATTATTATTAAAGTTTATAGTCTATATTATTGTTAGGACCCACGAAAATATGTTTATGTACCATCCACGAATCGAAAAATCAACACTAAACTTATGTGCAGCGGATCTAGAGGTTTAAGTTTAAAAACTTACGGCTTTAATTTTAAAGTTGTCGACTCAGAGACGTTGTAGATTTTCGCTATTGGAGATCGTCTAAAATCTCTGAATTCGTTGGACAGCTAGATTAATGCCTCTTCGGACGTCACGAGATTGCCGAGTCATCACGCGACAACGTGCGTGATTGTCTCAGTCGCTGGGGATGCGCGCGATGAACTTGGGTTGCTGCTGCAATTGGGTCATGGACGGTGGTCGTCGAGAACTCAGCTTGATCGCGTGCTGCACCGGGTCTCTTGGCTTGTCGGGTATGCTTGGTCACGCTCGGCTGAAGACGTAGGCTCGTGGTGGTCGTCGGGGCTCGCGTGGTGATCACCAGGAGAATTGTCAACCTCGGAATCTTCTGCTATAATTTCTAACACTTTTTTTGTTGTCTCGATGGGGAAAAAAACACGAAGACAAAGCTCGGGATAAGGGTTGACGAACGTATGTATGCGTGAGGCGCGAGTTATGAAGCGTGTTTAATCTCATGAGCTTAATGGTGTATTTATAAGGCTATAGCAAGGACCCTAAGGAGGTGATGATGTGGGCATCTTAAGTCATTGGGCCCAATTGTGGGCCAAGCCACTTGGTTCAATAACTTAAACAATGTATCAGGTAACTACCGAAACATTATTGCACTCTATTATTATCCCAGAATTATATTTAAGACTCCAATAATAATTACTCGAATTACCTCCACACGTTTAAGATATAATGCCTATAAATTAATTCGTTGGCTGACAATAAGAATTTATTGACATCTTTAACCGAAGCTAACACCACTCAAATCTTTATTATTACATCGGAACTTAATCCACCTGCAGGGTTTAACATAATAACCCTTCATGAGCTCACTTGCACATGGTGACTGTAAATATTCTAATAACACATTATACATGCAACACCATTACCCAAAGCACGAATATTATTGACCCAACAGAATGGATCTCGCTTTTGGTGAATCAAAATAATACATGCCAATTTATATCTTACGGGTTAAGAAAACACCGTAATTAACCAACGCCTAGTTCATTTACGATGATTAGTATAAAACTAACTGCTCATCTCTTGGATCTTGTTCAATACATAGATGTACTGGTGCAACTATTCTGTCAAAATCAACCGTACAGTTGATACTACAACCGTTCTGATGGTTTGTTCATTTCTATCTAGGTTGTGAACCAATCATTCTTGTCTCGCAAGTGACTGATAAAATGATCTTCTAGTCACCCATGATGAACCATTTTATCTAAGTACAAAATGACAAAACATAGAGCTTATTTAATCAAACATGATTCTAATTCAATAGAAATAGTGTAAATAATTTTCAAAGTCAAGCTTTCAGTATATACACAAATAATCTCTCACTTATACTTAACGTTTTTTTATTTTACAAGTATATGTATATCAATCTGTATTCTTAAGATCTATGTTTATCCTATTGTCGAACATCTGACTCTCATTCCTCCACGCCTTTGACAAAGACCTTCTCCGGCAAACTCTTCGTGAAAAAAATTAGCTAGGTTATCCTTTGATACAATCGGCAACCTCGACGTCTCATCTTCCTACGATTTCTCGTATCATATGGTACTTCCGCTCAATGTGTTTACTTGCCTTGTGGGCTCGTGATTCCTTTGAGTTTGCTACTGTACTACTGTTATCACAGTAAACTACGATACTTTGTGTCAAACTTGAAATCACCTACAAGTCCACCAATGAGTTCCTAAGCCACACTACCGCATTCGCTGCCTCAAAGGCTGCGATATACTCGGCTTCTATGGTTGTGTCTGTCACGCATTTCTTCTTTGCACTCCTCCATGAAATAGCTACACCTACCAAATTAAATACATAACCTGAGGTTAACATACTCTCATCCCGGTCTGACTGGAAGTCAGAATCACTGTAACCCAGCGAAAACAGGTTTTTTTTGCACAATAAACTAACATATGCTCCCGTCCTTCTCATGTATTTGAGTTTATGCTTCACCGCAGACCAATGTCGCGGACCCGGATTAATTTAATATCTAACTACCATGCCAATGGCGTATCTTATATTCAGCCTTGTGCACAATATTGCATACATGAGTCTTTCTACTTCCGAAGCATAAGGAACTATCTTCATGACATGTATCTCTTGAGTTGTCTTGGGATAAATCTCCTTAGACAAAGGTATTCCATATCGCAAAGGTAATAACCCTTTCTTGGAATTCTGCATGTGGAATCTAGCCAAGACAGTATCTATGTATGAAGACTTGAATAAACACAACATTCTTTTTTCACGGTCTCGAATGACCTTGATACCAAGAATGTGTCCTTCTTCTTCTAAGTCCTTCATATACATCTGCTTGGACAACCGTAGATTTACGTCTGACAATTTCTTCTTATTGCTTCCAATTAGAAGTATATCATCTACGTAAAGCACAAGAAACACCACAACTCTCCCACTGTGCTTCTTGTACACATAGTGCATCTAGATATTGGGTGAACCCATACGATTGGATCATCTCATCGAACCGGATGTTGCAAGACCTCAAAGTCTGCTTCAATAAATGGACCGATTCAGCTTACAAACTAGATTCTCAAGTCCCTTTACGATAAAACCTTTTGGCCGCTATATAGATGTCTTCTTGATGACTTTCATTAAGAAAAGTCTTTTTAACATCCATCTGTCATATCTCATAATTCATATGAGTGGTTACAACCAAGAGAATCTGAGTGGACTTAAGCATGGATACTGGCGAAAATGTTTCCTCATAATCTATCCCTTCGTTCTGAATATACACTTTCGCAACAAGTCTAGCATTGAAGGTCTAAACCTTCCCATCTTATCCTCTTTTTCTCTTATAGACCCACTTGCATCTGACAGGTCATACTTCACTTGGTGGTTCTACAATATCCCAGAACTGATTGGAGTCCATTGACTCCATCTTAAATTTCATCGCACCTTGCAATGATACTGTATCCTTGTCCTAGGGTGTCTGATCAAACTTCCAAAGTTCCAATTCTAGTTCACTCAACACTGAGTCTGATGACTCTCTGAACATAAATAAGTCGAACTGTCTCACTACCCTCTTACTGCAACAAGGTACTATTTGCACCGGTACACGCTCTGTGTACCGTGTTGCAGTATTATGTGGTATATATACTTGTGCACTCAGTATGGCACAACGACTTCACTCCTTAACTCAGTGTTGAGCAAAATCTACTTGCAGGCTTGTTGTTCATAATATAGTCTTCTTCTAAGAATCTAGCGTTCGTGCTAATGATCATCTTCTAATATTCGAGACTATAAAATAATCCACCTTTCATTTTCTTGGGATATCCAATAAAAAACTTTACTTTTGAACATTTTTCCAATTTGTCAGCCTACTGCAACAGAACGCGCACAGGGCTACCCCATATTATCGAATATATAAGAAACTGGGCTTGCGCCTTTCCACACTTTATAAAGGGTAGTCTTCACGGACTTCGATTAAACTAAGTTCGGGATATATGATGATGTATCCAACGCCATTTCCCTAAAACAAATTTTGTAAA